CCGCGCGATAATGAAGCGCAAGGTTTTACCTTATTTCCGAGATAACCCATAAGTCCTCTGCCAACACAAGATACTTTCATGTTCTTGACATGTTCTCGTAACTCGCTTTTCACCCAAATTGTTAAAAAGATACCAACCATTTGTTTGCTTGCAACCAGACAGTATTGCGATGAGTTCCACGGGATTCTATAGCCGTTCTCATTTGATGCAGAGCCAGGACATGACCCCGGTGAGTTCAAGACTGTGCTGGGGGAATCCCCTGGACCGTTATCATCATCCGAGGAGCCCCACCGGGATACATCACTAGGCCGAGAATAATCGCTCGGCCTAGAGTAATAATCACTTGGTCTAGAGTAATCACTTGGCCTAGAGTAATAATCACTTGGCCTTCTTGAGTAATCACTAGGCCTGTGACTAGACCTGAAGCTCGGGTCGAAATCACTTGGTCTATGACTAAAGAAGACGCGATCACAAACGCTGAAACGACGGTCAAGCCGTGGCTGTGAGACTGAAGGATCATTCTCCTCCATCCTCCATATGCTTGGGGTCTGGAAAGACCGTCTGTTATAGAAAGTCGCGTTCTTTTGCCTCGAAGATCCTGAGAAGTCAGCATCAATCTCTGCAATGGGGACAGGAATAGGCGACGGCGTATGACAGACACTGCTTGTCCCGGGGAGGTTATTGAGCGTTTTCCTGATGAGGGAATGCCATTTTTTGGCAGGACCGTTATCTTCAGCTCCAAGAACATTACCGGCATTTAGAGGAACAATCTCTTGGAAACTAAAAAGAACACAGAGAAAACAAAACCACAGATTGTTTAAGAACATTTCTTGAACAATGACATACATTCTTGAAAAGAAGATGTAATGAAAACGCACCCGAGTACGTATATATCTGCAGGAGCTGAGGAATGAAGCCATTCGTCGAGGTTTAGATCTGCAGGAGGAGAGCGTCCAGCAACGTTCCATGTAGCTACAAAGATGCTGTATTCTCAAGTAACATCAACATGAGTTTCAACTTCAATGGAAAACAATATAAGACACATGTGTGTGATTGTGTGAATGATATATATACCTATAGTTTTGGACATCAATGATTCTTGGATTTTCATAGTTCATTCTCCTTTGTCTAGATTGCTGTTCCCAATTCTTATTGAGTTTCTCTGTAAGTAAAACTCAGAAATCATGAGAAACAAGAAAAAAGAAGAAGAAAACTTTCTCATAGAGTTCTTGATCAATGACTTTACCAGTTTTGGTCTTCTTGATTGTGCAAGGTTCCCTCTCTGAGAAGCTACTTCTGTGCTCAACTTCAACACCTTAATCAATATTGAAAAATGAATGTTATTAGAACACAAAAATCCAAATTGCTAATTCTTTAAAAGGGTTTGGTTAAAGCAGAAAAATGTCAGTATGAGTTATATAACCTCTGAAAAAATAAAAATAAAAGGTGAATTGAGAAATTAATTTTATCAGAAAAGACAAAAGATTTACAATTAAAGACTCTTCAGAAAAGAACAAGAACAAGTTTTTAAACAAAACCCATCAGAGGAGGAATTTAAGTTTTTGTATTTACCTTGAGGAACAGAAACAGAAACATCTGCTTGAAACTCTTCCGTTTTGCTTTTGATGTTGAACCATTTCCTAACCATCTTCTTGGACCATGACAACTTCATTCAAGACAAACAAATTTTTTTTAAGGATTTTGAAATGAAAATTCATGAAGATGGAAAAAGAAGAAAAAATAACATAAAACCTTGCTTTTTTGGGATTTGTCGTCTCTCATTGCTGCTCTTTATTTGATTCACTGTTTGTTCTTGGAAATGAAACTCAATCCATCCATAAAACGAAAGAAACCCCTCAAAAAGAAAACAGAGATCAAATCGAAATGTTTTAAGAATTTGGGGGTTTTAGTTAAATTCACTGTTTGAAAAAAGATGAAATTGCAAGAATTTGCTTCTTGTTTGAATCAGGCAAGAACGAGTTGGATTAGGATTTAAGAGAAAGGAATTAAGAAATGGGTTTAGTTTCTGAGACTCTTTTCTTTCTTCCAACAGAGACAAATGAGAGATTTTTTTTCAAGGGAATTAAGAGAAGCAAAAACAAGTGTTGAAGAGACAATAATTCTTGAAGCAGACAAAGACAATGAGGAAGATTTTGGATAGAGAAAGCAAAAGTGATTTCAATAGAGAGAGAGAGATTAAGCTTTCTCCTTTGGTCCAGCTTCTTCTTCTTCTAGAGAGAGAGTGAGCCTCGTTCTCAGTGAAACGGCAAAGTAAAAGCAGCAGATTTGAACAGAATAAAGCGC